CAACCGGGACCAAAGGCTTTGCTATATAAGCCAACACTTAGGAATGTTTTCCAAGTGCTCACATTCTCCCCCGACGCCTCCAGGTTGCTCCTCATCGTTGTCGTCGTCGCCGCGCCCTGACCCATCGCCGCCCGCTCCTCGTCGTTGTTGCTGACGCCTCCCCGCGCCTCTGTCTTAGCCCCGACCTCGCCGACGCCGCCCCTAGTGAGCACCCTGCCTTCCCCCGTGCCCGTGCCCCGCCGCCGCCGCCATCGCCGATGCCCTCTACATTTGTTGTGTTCATATAAATTTTTAGTAAATGGATATGTATGCATATTGTTTTACTAAATATATGGATGTATGTTGATGTATGGATATGTATGCATATTTTTTTTCATATTTTTGTGTTCATAGAATATGGTGTTTTTATTGTTCATAGATGATCATATGATGTTTTTTTGTTCATATGTATGCATGGATGTGGATGGATGGATGTATATATATAAGTTGTCGATCCGCTCGTCGATTTGTTCATAGAAATTTGTTCATATGTATGCAAGCGACGTCGTTGTCGATCTACCCCCTCCCTGATAACTTCAGCATGAGGGGGGGCGTCGTACCTGCATGAGAGGCGGTCCGCTCGTCGGACATGTCATGTGGAATTTTTTTGTTCATATAGAAAACTCCGGTAACTTCGACATGAGGGGGGACATCGATCAACCCCCTCTCACCCGACTAATTCTCTAGTCCACCCAAACCGGGACTGAAAAAGCGTTGTCGAGGCCACCCCAAACTGGAACAAGTCTAGATATATCAGAAAAACAAGTCTAGATATATTGGACGATATGTAGATATCGTTTGCTTTCTAATAAAGAATTGTTGTCATCTATGTATCATTTTATATCGCGGTGGACATATCGGGCGACCAACTCTCGAGGCCACACAAACCCTAGAAAAAAGCGTTGTCGATCTACCCCCTCCCTGATAACTTCAGCATGAGGGGGGGCGTCGTACCTGCATGAGAGGCGGTCCGCTCGTCGGACATGTCATGTGGAATTTTTTTGTTCATATAGAAAACTCCGGTAACTTCGACATGAGGGGGGACATCGATTAACCCCCTCTCACCCGACTAATTCTCTAGTCCACCCAAACCGGGACTGAAAAAGCGTTGTCGAGGCCACCCCAAACTGGAACAAGTCTAGATATATCAGAAAAACAAGTCTAGATATATTGGACTATATGTAGGTATCGTTTGCTTTCTAATAAAGAATTGTTGTCATCTATGTATCATTTTATATCGCGGTGGACATATCAGGCGACCAACTCTCGAGGCCACACAAACCCTAGAAAAAAGCGTTGTCGATCTAAACCCCTAGAAGAAAACTCTGGTAACTTCGACATGAGGGGGGATGTCGATCAACCCCCTCTCACCCGACCAACTAAAACAAGTCTAGATATATCGGACGAGGTAGATAGCATCTGAGATGAAGCGAACAGGAGCAAGGCCCCGCAACCCGCCGCGTGACGAGGCGGGCGGCGAAGGAGAAGCGCGTGTGGATGTCCCTCTTGTTTTTATGCTCATACAAGTGGGAAAGGAACCTCTCTTATAAGGAGGTCCAACTCCCACTAAACTAGCAACGTGGGACTAAAATTTAATAGTATCCCTTACCTTGCATGAATGGGCTAAGTGGGCCTATGCAATTTATTAGGAATTTCTGAAATAGTTATTGGGCTGTTCTAAAATAGACTAAGAGTTCTATAACGAATAAGACCAAAGAGTGAAATCACTGCCAATAGTCCTAACTGTTACATCCGCGCGATGCGTCCCATTGCGGAAGACACGAGCACTGTGGAGTCCCAAATCTTTCAAAGGATGGTGAGACGTGCGCTCCCATGTAAAAATGATGTTTTTGCCATTTGGCTAGATGAAATGTTCAGGTGGGCGACCTTTCAAAAAATATAATCATTCATTTGTGCAGACAAGATTCTGAAAATCATCCATATAATTACTCATCCTTTTGGCGAAGAAACAATTATTGGTACAAGACAATTGTGACCTCAAGCTAATACACGACACGGTCCTTTTAGTTTCCTGGAAACGGTGAGTGATCTGACAAATAACAAACAATTAATCATAGTAAACTGTAAACAATAACAACCACGATCAACCACTGTAGCCGGCGCGAGGCAGTCCAGCCCGAGATCCGCTAGTTCTTCTCCTTCTCCTTGTTCTTGGACGGGACGCGTCCGTCGGTGCCGGCCAGTATGCCGTACTTCTCCTTGCGCGTGATGGTGGTGCACTCGAAGCCGAGCTGGTCGCTGAGCGTCTTCTGGATGTAGTTGGCGACCTCGATGGGCGACTTGCCCCCGCCGCAGGTGAGCTCCTTGGGCAGCATGTTGAGGAAGGTGACCTCGTAGACCGGCCGCGGGTTCATGAAGAAGAAGTAGGGGTCCATGAGCTTGAACCCGCGCACGGTGGAGCCGTGGAACATGTGCTCCCTGGTGTTGATCGCCACCGGCACGATGCGGTCGGTGAGCTCGGCGAAGAGCGCGCTGAAGCGCAGCAGGTAGGGCTCCCGGCAGGTGGTGCCCTCGGGGCAGATCACCAGGTCGCCCTCCTCCAGCAGCCGCCGGATGTTCTCGGCGTCCTTGTCGCGCTCCCGCGTCAGCGCCACCGCCTTGATCGGCGAGATAAGCTCCGAGAACTTGGAGATGCTGTAGGTCACGCAGCTCACCTTGCGGCCGAGCGCGACGGCGACCTCGATGGGGTCCAGCACGGTGCGGTGGTTGCACACGAAGAGCACGCCCGGGCTCCCCTTCTTGGGCGGCGGCGGCGGGTTTCCCTTCACGATGAGCCTGATGCCCATCATGTGGTAGATGTAGAAGACGATGCGCTCCGGGAGGGGCAGGTTGATGTACACGCGGAGGAGCGCCAGCGCGAAGCCGAACGGCATCCAGAGGAAGGTGACGAGCGCCACCAGCAGCGTCGGGCGCTGCACGAGGCGGCCGTCGTGGAGGATGAGCGGCGTCAGCAGCTGGTTCTTGGGCACCGGGCTGTACTTCCTCGACGTGACAAGGTAGGCCTCCTGCATGCACACCCACAGTGAGTGCTCAGCGTGCGGCACTGTGCATACTGTTTATCTTGATCAGCATACCCAATTAATTTTGCCATGTGCACCATAGTACGGGTGTACTGTTTATTTTGATCCGCATACTCAATTAGTTTGGCCAAGTACCATTATCTTAGTACAGTTGTACAAGTACTTGCTCAATGAATTACATTTGAAATCGTTGTGCCCTTGTGCTATTGAATCGGTGCTGCTTAGTGCAATTTCAGAGCAAGTCATCTACTCCCTCCGTCCGGAAATACTTGTCATCAAAATTGATAAAAAGAGATGTATCTAGAACTAAAATACATCTAGATACATCCTCTTTTATTCAGTTTGAAGACAAGTATTTTCGGACGGAGGGAGTATATCTAATGAAAAGCGCCGTAAATTAAGCAACTAACGATGAATTTCAGTAGTATTCCGCTACAAAAATTCAGCAAGATATTAAGGCCAATTGAACTACTCTATCTTGGACTGAATACTCGCATGGTAGCTCTACAGGTGTTGGTTTAGCCATTCTAGGCATGCATTCCAAGTGCAAAAATCTCAAAAGAATGCATGTACTGTGTACTGTTTATTTTGTTCATGATACTCAATCAATTTCGCCATGTGTTCTACCTCAGTACAGTCGTACTTTGCCCAAATGAATTATGGTAGGCTTTAATCGCTGTGCTTTGGATTAGTACTGCTAGCTTAGTGCAATTTCAGAGTAAATTCTACTTAAATAGTACTCCCTCCGTCCAAAATAAGTGTTGTGGTTTCAGTAAATTTTAGTTTAAATTGGAACTAAAACCACTACAGTTATTTCAGGACCGAGGGAGTAAACTTACAAAAGAGTCAGTAAATTTGAAGGAGTCGCTATGAATTCCAGTGCTCAGCAAAAAAACTTCAGTAATAAGCATAAAGTAAGATCCAATTGAACTACTTTGGAGTAATGGGGATCACAGGCAGCAGTGAGCTGTGAGGCAGCGAGGCCAAAATACAGTACTACTACCCAAGTAATTAAGCAGCTCGCCCAGCCCGTACCAGAACAGATGTGCAAATTAACTCCAAATCTGGCGCCATAAATACGTGGCCAGCCTAGCCATGTAGCCAAGCCACCCCACCAATAAAGAAATTAGTTATTCTCTCTCTCTCAGTACTGGACGTCTGGACTCTGCCAGCAGCAAGGTCCCAGAAGAAATTTATGTCTCTGCGAACCCGGTCAGGACGGTAGCAAGAAGCCATTAAAAAGAAACGAAGCAGATTAGCAAGGGAAAAGGAGATCCGGGAGACACGCACACGCCAGCCTTCATGTCTCACACTGTAGCACAGAAACGGCAAGCGGCGCGATCCGGCCGTCTCCTTGAATGCGCCCTGGACAGAGCTTGAATTCCCACCAAACAACCGTAAATGGAGGGAGGTCACTCACTGGCGCCGGCCTGAACCCCGCAGCAGCATTCACTCCGCCAGCGAGACCGACAGCTTTTCCCGTGGCCCGTGTTGGCCGTGGGAGCGGGAGGCGCAATGGAAGTCGTGATTAATTACCGACTGAGCCGATGAGCAGCTGACAGCGACTGCAGACTGTCGCCGTCGCGCTCGAACAACTCGTGCCTACCGGCCACCAACTTGCTAAATCTGTCTGAGGTCGTCGCCGCATCCGCATAGTTGGTTGCCAACTCTAGGCAGCCAAATTTGCACCCGGGATCGCGTGATTGAACACTTCACTGATCGCCGAGAAGCTAGTACTACAAGCGATATGCTACTGCTACCTACGTCGTCGCAGGCGCAGGACTGGCTACTAATGCTACTTTAACCAAAGTTTCCATAATACTACTGTACAGCATTACGAGCCAAGTGTGCTTCAGAATTCATAGATTCAGACTGAAATTTGTGAGAAAGGCACAATTCATGCATAATATCATGTCCAGATTAATTGGGCCTAAAGAAGTTATAGCAGTTAATCACAATGCATAATATCATGTCCAGATTAATTGGGAGTAAAAATGCTACCTATTGGCTCATCGACAAGAGTTGACGGTGCAGCTAAAAGTACCAACGATAATCTTACGCGTAAGGAAGGAGAAGGCAGAGTTGAAGCAATAATCGAACCTTGCATATGGACATGAAGTTGAAATCGGTAGCCCTGTCGCCCATGCCGACGTCGGGCACGGCGTCGCCCAGCTCCTTCACCACGGCCTGCTTCTTGTGGTCGCCGACGAGCACCCCGGGCTTCACCATGAAACCCGTGGCCTTGCCGGACTTGCCCACCTCCAGCTCCGTGCCCACCACCCTGTCGGCGCCGAGGAACTCCCTGGCGAAGGGCTCCACCATGACCCTGGGGCTGGCCGTGATGATGTACCGCTTGCCGAAGGACCTGAACACCCTCCAGCTCTCCGGGTGGACGTCCTGCGCGTAGAACTTGGGCAGCACCGACCGCGCCGCCATCTCGATGCTCCTCACCTTGAGCCCGGCCACGGAGATGTACACCAAGGTGCTGATGGCCAGCGACTCGGAGAAGAAGATGTAGGTCACGTACACGAACGGCACCGACAGGAGCAGCGCCACGGCGCGGAGGACGCTGCCAGCCTCCAGCGCCACGAGGAGGTAGTAGGGGAAGGCATTGGAGGACCGGAGCAGCGTGCCGTCGAAGTCGGCGGCCACCGTCTGCGCCGACCTCCCCTCGGAGCTGCACTCCTCCACGGGCTTGAATTTCGGAGACGCCATTGCCTCGTCCCGATCTCAACCAAGGTGATGGCAGTGGAGCAGGGGGGACGGAGTGGTTATATAAGCCTGGTTGGTGGTGGTGGGAGGCCGGTACGGTGTTTAATTTCGAGCAAGGTCGCAGCTAACTTCAGAGGCTATTACTTCTAGAGAGCGATTGATAGTACTGAATAAGTCATTCACGTAGTTTTAGGTTAATGATTTAACCATTTAAATATTTAAATATGTATTATATGTGATAAAAAATATATGTTTAGAAATTACATTCTTATAGAAATTTAGTGATATACTTTTCATGATGTTAAGTATATTGTGTACGTGTATATTTGTGTGTAGGGCCTACTTCCTATTTTCTTTGTATAGTTGAGGTTGCAGCCCACCTCTGTATTTATATATACGTGCCTGGTGCACCGATCAATACATCGAGATTGCACAACTCATAACTTGTCCTTCTACATGGTATCTATCGCAGCACGATCCTACACCCTAAAGCCGCCGCCGCCGCCGCGCCGCCGCGCGCCGCCGCCGCCGCCGCTACTCCCCGCTGCCGCCACTAGCCGCCCCCACCGCCACCCACCTCCCGGTCGCCGTCGCCGCCACTGTTAGCCGCCGCTTCTCCCCACCACCTCGCCTTCCGCCGCCGCCGCCTCTTCCCGAGGCCGCCGCCGCTGAACGCCGCCGCTTCCGCCCTCTCTCCT